ACCACTTGTGGAGAGCTTCAGAAAGACCTGGAATTAGCAGGTACGATTGTTTCAAAGAAAACAATAAGTAATGCACTGAACCACCATGGCCTGTATGCACGCTCACCACGCAAGACTCCACTGCTGAAGAAACAGCATGTTGAAGCTCCTTTAAAGTTTGCCGCACAACATTTAGACAAGCCTGTGTAATACTGGGAGAATATAGTCTGGTCAGATGAGACCAACATTGAACTGTTTGGATGCCAGAATACACATCATGTTTGGAGGTCAAATGGCACTGCACATCAACCCAAAAACACCACACCAACAGTGAAGTTTGGAGGTGGGAACATCATGGTGTGGGGCTGTTTTTCAGCATATGGTACTGGCAAACTTCAAATAATTGAAGGAAGGATGAGTGGAAAAATGTACAGAGACATTCTAGATAAAAATCTGCTTCCATCTACCAGGATGATGAAGATGAAACGTGGCTGGACATTTCAGCAAGACAATGAGCCCAAACACAAAGCCAAGGAAACTCTCAGTTGGTTTCAGAGAAAGAAACTAAAGCTGCTGGAATGGCCCAGCCAAYCACCTGACCTGAATCCAACAGAAAATCTATGGAAAGAACTAAAGATCAGAGTTCATAGAAGAGGTCCACGAAACCTTCAAGATTTGAAGACTGTTTGTGTGGAAGAATGGGCCAAAATCACACCTGAGCAATGCATGCCACTAGTTTGTCCATACAGGAGGCGTCTTGAAGCTGTCATTGACAACAAAGGCTTTTGTACAAAGTATTRGATAAATTTCAGTAAGTGTGTTCAATACTTTTTCCCTGTGCCATTCCACATTATTACAAATAACTTMATTTCTGGACATTTATGGTTTGATTTCTTTGTATGTATGGATCACTTGGGTTGTTACCGACATCTGGTGAAATTTCATGTCATTAGCACCTCTAGTAATAAATTTACTGAGAAAAATGTTGACGTGTTCAATACTTATTTTACCCGCTGTATGTCTGTGTGTGWGTCCACACCCAGTTTTTAACGTTTCCCACACACCGCAGTGACAAGACTTCAGARGGTTTGAATATCAAGCAGTGGAAAAGCCTGCAGCTCCCCTCTAGTCAGGCAAGAACAAGMAAACATGAAACATTTTTCAAGAACCAAGAGACACTATTCTGTTGCCTTCCACATACGATTATTATAACCTAGATAGTATCTGCATTCATTAACTTATCAGTAGATTTAAAGAAATAAGATACTTCAGTTAAAACTAAAGAGTCCTGTTTTTATGGAGCTCGCAATCCACTGACCTTTTCACATCATCATATCAACAAAGGTGTCATTTGTGGTGTTGCGTACTTCAAATAATTGAAATAAAAATAAATTTTGCCAGCATATTATGTTTTATATTAAAACAAAGAAAAAATGTATTCTTTGAGTCTATGGTTTTCAGTGCTATAAATATTTATTCTTACATTTAGCCTTTAATTTAAAGCATTGTGCATTGATTTATCTAGGCCTTTCCTTAATCTGCTCTCACAGCTCTTTAAATAACACAATGCTGCCACCTGCTGGTCAAAGCAGACACAGCTGAAACATGATGGCGTAAACTCAGACAGAAGCTGCCTGGATTGAAGCATCATTACCTGTTCGTTTTATCATATAGAATTTAAATAAATGATTACTTATGTTACATAACAAATAAAAACAGGCTTTGCTTCAATGATAATTAAAAATATCATCAGTATATTAATGTATATATTGTAATTCAACAGCAACAAAATTATTCATTCAGGTTTTTTATTAGTTAATTATGAAAGCTACATGTCAACAACTGTTCAAAATAAAAGTTGGAAGAGATATAAGTTAAGTGTAGCTGCAAGTGCATTTTTTTGCATTTTTCTTTCATTGTTATTATTATTATTTCAAACCTCCAATTCACAAGATTTGAATTTACATGTCATGATTTCAATTTTTTTCCAAGAAAATTCAGGTACAAAACTCTAGAAAATTAAAACAAATTTTAAACCATGTTTTGACTATGTTTTAGCAGCTATTTCRAATTAGGCCATCATAAGCATTATATTAAACTCTACAGTGTTTTAACACGTGCTTTTACCCTTAATTATCAGCTTGGGTTTCCAACACTGCCAAGTAAAATATGATGCATTTTTAAAACTTATACTGTTCTGAAAATGTCTCAATTACCCACCGGGTTTGACCAATTTCTCACAGCTTTACGCTCCAGGATGAGGATGATTTATGCCTTCCTCTGTTCCTATTTGAGGCTGATCTCTAGCTGACCTTTAGAGGTCGTGGAGTGAGGCGCTGAGGGCAGCAGCTCCTGGTACTCTTAATTGGCAAACTGTGTCTTTTTGCACATTATATAAATAACACTAAAACGGCTTTGTTATGGTCTGCATACGATGTGTTATTTCCTCTATATTTGAGTATTTTTTCCATTTCTGAGCAAATTTTTTGAGTCTGTGATTGCATAAACCTGATCTCTCAAAGTTTCGACAGTTAAACTTTTGTCATTGCTAAAGTAAAAATGTGCATTTATTCAGTATATACAAAAAATACATGTATTTTCTTTTCTGTGTTTMCTTATTGGGTTTCTGGGTGCTTATCCCCAGCAGTCACCGTGTAGGAGGCCAGGCACACCCTGAACAGGTCACAAGTCCATCACCGGGTCACACAGAAACAACTATTCACAGTCATACTCTCACCTAGGGACAATCCAGWGTTACCAATTAACCTAACAAGCCAGTTTCTGGTTAGAGGGAAGGAAAAAACTGGAGTACCTGGAGAAATCCCACATGTGCACAGGGAGAACATGCAAACCCAACGCAGAAAGGCCGGGGGGCAAATATGCAACTTTCTGGCTTGTTTTTGTCAATTCAAAGAGCACCATAAGATTTAAAATTCAAACAACGATCTCACTTTCATAAGTGAAAATCGAGTAAACCTGCTGCACCCTCAGTTCAGCTGCACTGTGGTGATAGTGGACTTTTCCATCAATAGCTTCTGTCATTAAGTCCTCCTGTGCTTTTGTGTAAACTGGGACGATAATTCTACATGCACAAAGGGCGCTGAAAGGTTCATAATGTACTATCATTAGGTCATTTTAGGTCATTATTATAAGTACGAAATCATGTTGTGAMGATATTTTTTGTGTCTCTGGTGTATTGTAACTTGGGAAAAATCCCAATATTTGTGTTGGACTCCTACTTCAGTCACACAACAGCTGAACAGAAAAACATGCATTTATTTATGGCTCATTATCTTTCTGGATATCTGCTTCCTATTACCTGATGTATCTGCTTCCAGCTCTTCTGCTTGGCAGAAAATGATAAGCTTTTGTTGTACAAAGGCAAAAAAAAAAACATACTGAGGGAAATTGTGAGAAAATATCTCAGCCACAAGATACCCACTGATCTCAGAAATTGAAAATGGACAAATATCAGGCTGATTGAATTGACTGGTGAAAATAAAATCAAAGCACTTGGTATTTTTTTATTGTTCTCTCTCATCATCTAACATTTTATTGTAAGGTAATGCAGTATGGGAGCAAAGGAACGTTATTGTGAGTTCATAAAAGGTAAAAAAAAAACATCACATTATCTAATGAATAAACTGATCAATTGAAGTACGATTTTTTAATTTATTGGTGAATTAAAAGTACTCACTAAAATGTCACAAAAACTAGTCAAACAAGGTGGAACTTGAGGCCAAAGCGTCGACTGGTAGGCCTCCGCTGTCTACCTTTGAAAAAAATGCTAGTTTTATATTACCAATCATCATAAATGACCTCGACCTTTTGACCCTTTGATGCCCAAATCTAATCAGACTGAGTACTATCCTATTGGAGTTACTATGCCTATTTATAAGAAAATATCTAATTTCATTCAGGAGATATCGTGMACACAAGACCACCCGTGATGGACGGACACCGCACAAACACACAGACGGCCAGAGAACAGTCTGCCTCCGGCCYCCAGTGGGCGGAKCCACAATAAAAACAATCAAATAAAATAAAAAAAATCACGACGATGCAAAATATGCACAACTTTTCTTTCTCGTGTTGATGGTTAGTGAAAATGCACGAGCTACTTTGTGAACAGGTAACTGCTATGTCCTGCAGTTGTTTACCAACAAAAACACTTATAGTGACTTATAAAAAAGGTCAACAAAGCAACACCCATAATAGAGCTTTTTGAGATAGAGATGTTTTATACTGATGTAAGTGTACCGGCACTTATTTGCGTTCAGATTTTTTTTTGTGTAAAATATGTTAATAACAAACTGATTGCATTTTAACAATTAATTTATGATAAATGTTCTTCTTAACACTAAATATAAT